AGCTAAATAACAAAATGTTAGTCAAACATTTTAACATTTAGAAAGTGAGCTAAATGATGGAAAACCTTTTATTTTATACTTGGCATTTCATACAGAAATATGTAATTAGATCATAAACAATCAAAAGTGGTCAAACAAGAGTGATGCTGACTCAGCGTTCACACTAATGAAGAATTATTTTGAATTTAGATCGTTTTAGACCTTCATGGTCCTTTACAGTCAAAGTGTTGAGAGAACACCTGAAAAGGTTTAGTTCTGGTCCTGACCCGGAGGTGTTGGCCCACAGCTCTCTGCTGCGTCTGTTGTGTGTTTGAACACACGGGAGAACCGACACACCGCAGCCTGACCTTAACCCGGCTCCCCRCAGAGTCCGAGGGAACGTTCCACGAGCCGCGCCTCCCTCCAGCTGAGCGCTAATTTATCACGCTCAGGTCTTCTGCCAGCGCACGGCGCCACGGGGCCATTAGGACCTCTGCATGGGTCTGCTGCAGAACCACAGGACCTGCCAGCCTTCAGCTCACAGACCACAGGGGGACCCGGGGTCCTCGGAACCGCCTAATTTACTCTGAGCTGTTCTGCTGGGATTCCTTCGGCAGTCGGACCGTTAGAGTCCTGATGTTGGTGAAGTGAYTGGATTTTAATGAAACTCTAAAACTAATTAACTTTTAGAGTCTAATTCAAGAYGACTGCCACACATCATAGATTTACCAAAGAAAATCTGTAATAATTTGACAGATTTTACAGATAATGAGCTGAAGTCTGATGTGGTAGAAGCTAAAAGTCATCCTCAGCACATCCAGCTACGGTTTGACCAAAACCCAGGTGGGTTAGATCATCTGAGTCTGACACTCAGTGTCGGCTGATTCCACCAAGAAAGACTGGACAYTGGGTTTGTTTATAACTTATTTAAACMTTTCAGCCTCWTTCAGCTTATTTCAGCTTGTTCTCTGCTCACTTTAGCTCCTTTCTGCTTATTTTAGCTTATTTTCTGCTCACTTTAGCTCCTTTCTGCTTATTTTAGCTTGCTCTCTGTTCACTTTAGCTTCTTTCTGCTTATTTTAGCTTGTTTTCTGCTCACTTTAGCTTCTGCTGATTTTAGCTTGTTTTTCTGCTCACTTTAGCCTCTTTCTGCTAATTTTAGCTTGTTTTCTGCTCACTTTAGCTTCTGCTAATTTTAGCTTGTTTTTTGCTCACTTTAGCTTCGTTCTGCTTATTTTAGCTTGTTTTCTGCTCACTTTAGCTTCTTTCTGCTTATTTTAACTTGTTTTCTGCTCACTTTAGCCTCGTTCTGCTTATTTCAGCTTGTTTTCTGCTGACTTTAGCCTCTTTCAGCTTATTTTAGCTTGTTTTCTGCTCACTTTAGCCTCTTTCAGCTTATTTTAGCTTGTTTTCTGCTCACTTTAGCCTCGTTCTGCTTATTTCAGCTTGTTTTCTGCTCACTTTAGCCTCTTTCAGCTTATTTTAGCTTGTTTTCTGCTCACTTTAGCCTCTTTCAGCTTATTTTAGCTTGTTTTCTGCTCACTTTAGCCTCTTTCTGCTTATTTCAGCTTGTTTTCTGCTCACTTTAGCTTCGTTCTGCTAATTTTAGTTTGTTTTCTGCTCACTTTAGCTTCGTTCTGCTTATTTTAGCTTGTTTTCTGCTGACTTTAGCCTCGTTCTGCTTATTTTAGCTTGTTTTCTGCTCACTTTGGCTTCTTTCTGCTAATTTTAGTTTATTTTCTGCTCACTTTAGCCT